AATTAGAGATAAGCATGTTATTTGTACACGAGTACACATAGTGAAAGCTAGTAATATTATGTTAAGCAGTTCCATGTACTAGATAATATGAGTATGATTATGATTGTGATTATTTATTGTATACTGAAAAACCAGAACAAGCCATAAAGCTTTAGATTTCATATTTATTATGTCTTGATTAAGTATGAAAGCTATAATATAGGCCATATGCCACATGCATAGTTATAGACATTTAACCTATAGTTGGTCAAATACCACTCATAGAGATTTATAGTACCATAAGAGAGGGGGATTGAACCCTATTTGCTGTAAGTTGGGATGGATTACCACCCCTAGTATGAGTAGGGTGAGATGTCACTCATAAGGGCATGCAATACTCCAAGATAGAGGGATAATACCCTATCCGTTATGAGTTAGGGTGAACTACCACTCAGAGTAAGATTGTTCTTATTAGTTAAATTAAATAAGAATTCTATGAATAGTGATGTTAGTGAGATAGAAACATTAGATTCTAGACACAATTGAGTTATGTATTCAATTTTGATTGTGTTGTTACATGGTTGAATCTTAATAAAACCCTTAGTAAATGAGAAATTCTAGATAAGTAAGTTAAGTAATAGATGGAAATCTATAATAAAGTACCCCATAATTTAAGTTTAAAAACTAAGTATCGTCATCTCTTAAAAAGGATATCATGCTTTATCTACAGTACAGCTTCCTCATTTTTCATAAAGGATTTCAAAAATGTACAGTTTTATTTATAGTATGTGTTTATGAAATGTTGATTTCTACTCAAAAAATTTGTTGCTTTTATGACAACTCAGTTTTCTATAGTTTTGACAAGACAATTGTTTTAACTCAAAATTCATTTTTATATTTAAAGATAAGATTTGTGCAAAAGTTTTTCCTTTTGGTTTGTCCCTTTCCCCGTATTCATTCGTAGATCTTTATGACTCACATGTTAGTTTTCTTCTTCCCTTTTTTTTGTAGATCAATGATTCTCTTACTACCCTTGTCACAAAGATGAGATCCTATTCTTTCTTGGTAGGTGATCTAACAGCCCATTTGATGCTTAAAGAGTCAAGTCATATTTCATTGACGAGTCGGTCTTTACTTTTATGCTTATATGTGTTTGAATATGTTTATATTGAACTAGCCAAGAGATGACATTTACTTTTATGAAATTATGTAGATAGATGTCATAAGATGGCACGAGAGCTTATAAGACACCTAATGGTGTATATACATGTGTATATGATATGAAACATGAGAATTTACTTTATCAGATATTGTTATGAGAATGGCAGTGTTTCCACACATTATGTTGAGAAGTTCCATAATTGTATGATGAAGCGTTAGTATTTATGCTGTTGTATTATGTGTTGTGTATGAAGGTTAAGATGAATAGTAGGTATATAAGATCAACGAAAGGCTTACTTAGGTTTAGTGGGCCATACTTACCTAGGTCCTCGCATTGGTCATGTCTTCAGAAATGGGATATAACATACATAAAGGTGGAAAAGTGAACAACCTCAAGATGAGCTAATTTTTAATGTGAAGAGTTGTATGAAGGATTTCCAAATAGTGGGACAGCCTTGTCATTGCCACATTCCATCCAAGTATGGTGGTAAAAGTTGCACAAAAAGTCTACCTCCCATGGGTCTACGCCAAAAATAACTATAGATTGCAAAGGTACAGAGATAATTGGGAAAAATTGCTAAGAAGAGGGAACTACCTTGTTACCGGTTGTGATTGTCATAGGGCTAATAGAGCCACTCTCAACCATAGCACCATGGTGTGATGTGTTGTCAGAAAGTCATAAGTTTTCAATTTTGGTTATAAGGTAGTGACTAAATTCGTATCTATAAGATTAATATCCATGGTGACATATTACTAGGAGATAGAAGCCATCGCCATGAGTTGAGTCTTGGATAATGAAATTGGATGTGCCATGTCCAAAAAAATGATATTCATCAAGGGCTTGCATTGCCTTGTAGGGTAATTTGTGGAAATACACTTCTTGAGTACATAGTGATTTCTTTGGTGGTAAGCTTTAGTCATTTAAATGTTAATGGAGCATACTAGGGACCCAGGCTCAATAATGAAGTGATCGAGTAGGATTTGCTGCTTGCAATAAGTTTAGTCATCATTACAATTGGGCCTTGTCGTATTGGATCCTGTCACAATATTGACCCCAACAACTTGAATCAATGAATGCCATTTAATTAAGTTGGACACCAAATTATTATTGATGAGATTCGACCTTATGCTCAAACATGAAAACTAATCAATAAATATAATGCAGCAAAAAAAAAATAATATTTAATCAGAGAAACAGTCGAATCCTACAAGATCAATGTTTATGTTTTTCATGTAACTTTCCAATAAATTATAAACACTCATAGGTTTAAGAGTTACACACCTTACTCTAGATATTGTAATCAAGAGCCAATTAAATCCAAAAATCTTTGCTTCTTCACCTTTAGGATTTGTCAAATCTTCAGCCACTTAAGTGCTTGGCATCTAACAGTAATCCACATAATGACTGAATAAAACCTTCTCCAAGGTTGGATTTTACTTGTGCTAGCAAGTTTTATTTCTAAAAAAAAAAAGATCAAAATTCTGGCCGAATCTTATTTTTTTTCAAACAAAGAAAACTATTTTTCTTTTTTAAGTTTATGAAACGGTTGGAAAGTGGTTGGAGCCTTTTAGTTTTTAGTTTGCTAATATAACATATTTATATAGCTAAACTAATTTGTAACCCTAAATACAACTGTTGTAATTTAATTTAATTAAGTCTTTGAGAACTTAATTAATTTCTCACTTTATTTTGGTCTCTTTCAATTAAGTCCAACTTAATTAATTATCCTTATTTAATCCCAATCATGTCACTTCATGTGTGTGACCCATTAGGCTTCTAACATGTTAGCAATAAATATAAATCATAATCAA